AGACAGAGACAGAGAGACAGAGACAGAGAGAGACAGACAGCAGAGAGGCAGAGACAGAGAGAGACAGAGACAGACAGACAGCAGAGAGACAGACAGCAGAGAGGCAGAGACAGAGACAGAGACAGAGAGAGAATATGAAGAAGAGACAATAAGACAACTATATCTTTATCTGTCTCCTTTCTGTCTCCTTCAGGACAGTTTCTAATGTCTAGTAATACATATCCTATTAGAGGCTCAGGGCATTGCTTTGCTGGGGCATCTGCTATGCCGTGAGTGCTGCAGCTTTTAATTCTAGTTGTCTTGTTTTATTTATCTATTTGTCTCCTTTTGTCTCCTTTTATGTGTCTTTGTCTCTCTTTGTTTCTGTCTCTCTTTGTCTCTCTGTCTCTTTCATCTTTATTTTACTAGCTGTCTCCTTTTGCTGCTTCTCTGTGTCTCTTATTTGACTCCTTTTCTTCTGTCTCTTTGTCTCTCACTCTCTTTTTGTCTCTTTGTTTGTCTTTTACTTTGTCTCTCCTTTGCTGTCTGTCTCTCTCTCTGTCTGTCTCTGTCTGCTGTCTCTGCTTTTATTATTTTTGTATTTGTTTATCTCTCTGCTGCCTCCTTTTCTTCAATCTTTATCCTGTCATACCCCTTCTTTAGTGGTTTAGGGTTTAGGGTTTAGGGTTTAGGGTTTTACTGTCTCCTTTTCTGCTGTCTCCTCTGCAGAGCACCTGAGGCCTCTCGTCATTTAACTCGAGCGCCTCTGAGATCGCAGACAGCTTGGGAGCGGTCAGTGAAGGCATTGTTGAGAAGCTTTGCTGCTGCTCCTGCTCCTGCTGCTGCTGCTGCTGTTGCTGCTGCTCCTGCTCCTGCTGCTGCTGCAGTACCTGCAGCAACCAACACAGCTGCTGCAGCAGCAGACGCAGCAGACGCAGCAACGTCAACGCCCATTCTTTCAAGGGACAGCTCTTCCTCTAGTCTCCACCGGCAGCTACAGCAGCAACAGCAGCAGCAGTATCTGCACCAGCAGCAACGACAACCGCAACCGCTGCAGCAGCAGCAGCAGCAGCAGGAAGAGGGGTTTGAAGTGTCTCTGCCCTTTGCCTTAAAGAGCGCCTACGCAATCCCCCCCACCGATCTGCAACACCGACAAGAGCCGCAGCAGCAAACAGCAGCAGCAGCAGCAGCAGCAGCAAGAGGAGACAGTGCCTCCTCACAGACGAAAGGAGACAGCAGCGTTGCTGGTGGTGAGGCCTCAAAAGGCCCGCAACCTCCTCCTCGCCAACGCAGCAGCAGCACTAGCAGCAACAGCAGCAGCAACACCAGCAGCAACAGCAGCAGCAGCAGCAGCAGCAACAGCAGCAGCAGCAA